GCTGTGGCATGATTAAGCGCTTCCTTAATCTTCTAGAAGCAAGGGGATGGTGTGACTGTGCCGTGCGAATCCGGAAAAGTAACATGATATTGATATTTGACTTTCATTTTCGTGCTCAATAGACATACTAGATAAAGCAGTACAAAATCGACTTATTTGCATGAAGCAGCGCGTTGTCTCTTGGGCAGCAGACTGGGACCTCCTGATTGATGTTGGTCGGTTCATTCGATAGACCATCTGTTGTGCTTAAATAACCGTAATGTACTGTTTTCTTTTGTCATTGCATTAGCGCTTGTGAAATAAACCAAACCTTGTTTTGATTGCAGTCCATGATTTCAACTCTGCATGCCCTCTGCAGAAAACTGGCAGTTGCTAAACTAGAGATTATATGACAGCACGACTGAAGTCTGTAGAATGTTATTCTCTTGAATCGTTACGTTTTCGTTGAGACTGACTTGTCGTTAGCTCTGAAGCGATCGGCTTATAATTGCTGGTAACCGGGATTTAGCTTCGATCATCATGATTTTATGACACGTAATGCTTGTGTCTATAGAAAAACTTATTTATTATAAGCCTGAATACTGAGGTTGAAGACCACCATTTGAATTAATGTATATAAGGCAAGTTGTAGTTTTTGTTTTTCACTCATGATGTTTGTCTTCTGAACAGAAAGAACGGAAGACTGTGGCAATAATTGATCTGTTATATTAGGAAATGACACAGCTGGCATTGCCTAGAAAATCAGGCGTTGTAACTGCGCCTGGAGTTCTGTGTTCATGTTTCTTTCATCTGAACCCAAGAGCACATTTGTTGCCAGGTGTGATTGTTTTTTGAAGATACAGTCTGTAGTTTAAATATGAATATTAATTTGTTTTGCTAAAAATTTTCAAGAAAAATCAAATTCAGATATCATTTCAGAGGGAGATCGGCGATCGATCGTTGCTTCCCACACTAAAATGCATCTACCAGTTGCTGCCTATACCGCGTCATAGCGTCGATGTGATCGTTTGCGATTCGTATGGCTTTCAACCGCAAAAGAACGCCAAGGGTATTTCGAGCACGGGAACGACTTGTCCGGATGCCGTTCATCGCAAGGTACGTAGAGAGACATTAAGCGAGCCATAGGCGGCGTCAGCTGGATAACTTACGTTTGATTCGAATGAATACTATCGAGTTTGTTTTACAAGGCTTCAAAAAATTACCATGCTCATTTCGGTGTTTTATAGTAGGCAGATTTTGAGTGCTAATATTCATAAATACGCGAAAGCCGGAACCGATGCCTTTACTACTGGATTGCAGGGGTGCACTTTAAACGTACTTTCTTTGGCAGACTACATTTGAATGTATAGTGAAAAACTGGCGATAGCAGTCCTAATTTCAGTGAATCCCATGTATTTAAAATTTTTCTTAACAACCAGTAAATATACTAATTTCTTTTGTTAGCCAATTCAATAACTTTTCAATTGGTCTCTGATTTTTGACTTACAGTTGTCCTCTTTTTCTAAAGGCTCTGTTCTACATAAATCGGTGGAATTACCTATCTTGTTATATTCGTGTTATATCTAGTTATTCATCTAGTTTCGAAACTGTGACTTTCTATCGAGTGGCATTGCTGTAAGTGCAGAATGTTTTTCTACTGCTCATGACAAAATACTCGGAGTCGATTTTAAGACATCGAAATTCCAGGTGCTCGATAAAGTCAAGCAATTTGACTATGGATCTACCGCTTTGCCACCAACATTTGGTTTTGTGAAGAAGGCCGGCTTTGCTAGTATATTCTACACCACCGGTCTCCCTTGTAGAATGCTACTAGCATAGTGAGAGGATTTGAGCGTTTTATTGCATCTATGGACATTACTGGATTGAGCATTGAAAATTGCCGTTTGTTCGGTCTTCGTCGTAAAGCCAGCTTAGGGTTAGAAGTTAGACAAACAACATGGCACCCATATGTACCAATGGTTCCGTCTCACAAATTATAGTAACGAACCGGCCAGATTAATTGCAGATACTTTCCAGCCTTTGGCAAAAAGGAAACGTTTTATAAACAACAAAAACTTTATATTATGCAGTCAATCATGAATGTGGGTTAATCGCCCGGATATCATATTAGTAAGTAGAGCGAAGAGACCAGCTGAAATCACCGGTATAGCGTGTCTGTGCGACAGCAAACTTGCTGTTATGGGGAGAGAAAATATTTGGAAGTACCAAAAATTGACGGTAGAAATGCAGACGATCTGGACAGAAAAAGCCGGAAGTAATTTCTGGTAATTAATGCCACGTGAACAGATATGAAGATTAGCAGCCCTCATTAAGGCTGACCAATGATACGATCAGGAGCGAGTAGCTGCAGAGGATCATGATCATGCTACTAGGGATTTCCCAGATTTGAAGAGCATTACTTCTGCTCCCCAACCCTCGGTGGAGAGTTTGAGCAGAAGAGATGAACAGATTCGTGTTTTCACTGAGGAGTGTAATTTTAATAATTGTAATATAATATCGATACGGGATGGAAATCGGTATCGATTCATCTTCCTAAATAGCAGTTGTTTTCGCCCCACACCAGGGTCATTATCAACGTAATAATATGCAAATAAAACTGCATGACGTTTTTGGTTATCCAGCATTTGATGACGGCATCCACCGTTCCATTAATTGTTTCCCACACGCTGACTAATGTCACTAAATGTCAGTCAACCTAACAAGCTCGTACGTTTGTTATACTCTCGGCTT